AAAAAGAAAAGAAAGAAAGAAAGAAAGAAAGAAAGATTTTTGCTTTCTACTGATTTGTTTCTTTAGGGAAATAGAAGCATTATCCCCTAGAAAAATCCAACAGACCCAAAATAGAGCAATGGTTTATTGAAGATAGATTTGGGTCTGTGAATGTACTATAGCATGGTCAAATATACGAAGAACTTGGTTATAGGAAAAATGAAAATGTTTTCTTTTGTGGTCACTGCTTTGATGACAGACAATGTTTGTCTCTTCTCTGATGAAATATAATATTTACCATTGGAGATAGACAAATTATCCCTTGAGAAAATAAATATACCATCAACATGTCTCAGGAAAACCACCAACTATTCTGATGGATAGTTACATGAAGAAAAGTGCTAACTATCAGCATCTGCACAGGGTTTCAGCAGAAATATTTTTATCTAGTAGGAGATTATGGTTCCTAGACTGTATAATCAAGATGTAACAACAACAAAAAAGAGAAAAAGATGTAGATCTTGAGGGGAGTTAATTCAAATGGAGTGATTAAGAACCCAGCATCAGCTCTTGGTTCTCCCACACAGTAGACATGTAACATTCTTTCTCAAGCTCATTTTAAGAGGTCTCTACAAATTAAAAAATTTGGCCGGGCGTTGGTGGCACACGCCTTTAATCACAGCACTCTGGAGGCAGAGGCAGGTGGATCTCTGTGAGTTCATGGCCAGCCTGATCTACAGAGCTGGTTCTAGGACAGGCTCCAAAGCAATACTGAGAAACCCTATCTCCAAAAAACAAACAAACAAACAAACAAACAAAGAAAAATTGGTTTAAACAGTGTTTAATGTCTCTACATATCTCGGAAATATCTTTATGTGTTTCACTATTCATCAAGGAAATATTAATTTTATTCTTTTAACATCTTTCACTGTATTATTTGATCATGGTATAATATATATGTTGTTACAAAATAAGACTTTCATATCTGGAAAGTTTTCTAGAAGAGCCTCATTATTTTTGGCATAAAGGGGACTGATGATCAGTGCCATGAGAACTGGATGAAATCATTAGCACATGTAGATTATATGTGGCAGAGGGACATAAGTACTATGATCACAGTTATCCATCTCTTTACAAAGAGTAACAAAACTTGGGTTTGGCTTTTATGAAAGCAACAAAAAAGCCAAAGTGGCACTCCAGTGAGAAATTCTGAGACCCAGTTCCTTGTCACTTTCTAATTACAATAAATGGAATGTGAAAAATAGTTGTAGTACACAATTTTAAGATAATACTACTACACATAGGAAGAGCCAGCAATAACAATTCTGAAAGTTGATTTCGAACATGTCAGGGGCTGTTACACAAATGAAGTCACAGCATGCACAGGACATGCAAAAACAAGCCAGTCAAAATTCCAGTGTGTGTGTGTGGGGGGGTGGTGGTAGAAAATGAAGCCATGTCCACAGCTGAGGTACTATTGGCTGCTGGGATATAGATTTGATAGGTTGCTCATGCTCCAGAGGATAACATTATAACCATAACGATACTGAAACCACTAAATAGACTCAGCAGGTTAATAAAAAAATACATATGAAAAATTGAAATTAGATACACTATATCTATTCTGGTAAGCGTCATGAAGGGGGGATTAGCGAGTGAATTTATGCAAAACACATTGAAAAAATGAATGACATTCTCAAATAATATGTAAAAATACTTTTTGAAGAATTTGTAACTACACTGTCAGGAATTTTGAAAGGAATTTGTTGTCATTGTGTTTTACTGCAGATTATTTCCTCAATCAAAAGCACTAAGTTTATGAAAACTAGAGTATACTTGAATTATGATCTGGAAGTTGGAAAAACAGATAAGCTCAACGTTGAGAACCAAATTGGAAGTCAGGTTTTATTTTTTATCTTCCTAAAGCACCTCAATCATGTTCCCTTGAACAGTTGCATGCTGGGGGCCTTTAATCATGGGATGGTGCAAACCTATGTTAATAGGTTACTAAATCTATTTTGTAGATGGAAAGAAGCATATCTGCATAGTTAAGAGAGAGTTACTCCTGCCAGTCTTGTGTTAAGAGGGCACTTGTGAAAACTCATTGAAGGCAAAAACCAGATTTTACAATTTTGAGTTCAAACATAGCTATTCCTAAAGTAGCATTGCTTTATATGATTCCCCAATTGTTCATCTTCATCAGTTTCTCTGTATTTGTGTGCATTATATACATTACAGATTAACTTTATTAAGAAATTACTTTGTAAATATGCTGGGAATTATAATCCAAAACTGAGATTTTTAAACATCAGATTGATTATAGTGTAAAATAAAATTTCATTGGCATACCTACTTAATGAGAGAAAGTCAGTTAAAATATATTCAAGTTTATATGGTAGTTACTAAGAAAATAATTTGCCAAAGTGTTGCTGTAATATTATTATATAAAGACTTTACTCTTATTGCCACAGATGACTACAGCACTTAAATATCTCCTTCATGGCTGTTAAGACACAGTCCAGTCAATTCATGCCCAGGGAGCTTTAATCACAGATCATCTTTCCGATGAACGGTAAAGACTGCGTGGGCTATCATGTCAATGGCTGAGGTGACTGGGGGAGCTGTTAATGGCAGTCATGCCAGCATGCAGTTCATAGCGACTTTTAAGGAGTGCTTCTGATCTCAATGATTATTAGATTAGCTTTGCATGGAACATTTCTTGAGAATTTCTATATTAAGTGAGGCCAGCTATTTTATTCAATGGATACAAGTAAATTTGCTGGAGAGGATTGAAGTGCCCCAGTGGAGAGTGGGGTGTTGGTCTATTAATCAGCTGAAAGATTATATTTTTAATTTCTGTGGCCTATTATATCATTACAAATAAAGAATTAAAGCAGAATCACGAAGAAAATATATATAGAAAAAATTATAACATATTAACGATAAAGAACAATGATGATTCTGGTTGGTGCAAGCTGACCCCTAAACTAAGAGTTTCTGTTGCTCCAGAATTCACTCTTCATTTGATTAATTCTCATTGCTACAACTCAGGTTTTATCCTCAAACCCCAAATGAGATGACGTGGGAGTTGTTTTAAAGTCTATTACATCGTTTAACAAGGGAGGCTATACATTAGAGGAAGAACAGCAAAGAGGTCAGAAGCAGGGTTTTCCAAATATAATACAAGATTTGATCCAGCATTAAGTTCCCTGAATGCTTGAGGAAGAAAGAAAGGAAAATATGACTGGGAAGGAAACAAAAATCCAACTCCATGTTCTATCAAATAGCACAAAAATGTTAGAATACACAAATTGGACACCAATTCAGATGGTTTGCTTACCCAGCTTAAGACTAGGACGCTGTATATAGTGCACAGGTCTATGGACTCAGTTTCATGGGAAGTGCATAGGATGAGCCTAAGTTTGAGGGAACCCTGAGAAACTCAGTGAGACCCTGTGCCAGAATTAAAAGTAAGCATCTACTATGTCACTCAGTGTGAGAGCAGCCTTTAGTGTGCATGTAGCCCCGGATTCAATCACCAATCCTGGACTACAGGGTTGGGACTAGTGAAAAAGAAAGGAAGAAACAGAAATAAGCATAAGACAAAAAGAGAGAGAGGGAGGAGAAAAGGGAGGGAGAGGGGGAAATAGGAAGAGGGTGATTTCAAGAATTTTAGAAGGCTATGTAAATAGATTTCCATGGGCCTCCTGCTTCACATTCTCAGATATGGCATACCTGAGATCTGTGATCTCTCTGTTCCCTCAATGGAGATCTCATAGAGGTTTCTCATTACACATGATAAGACAGACTGTGACAGCTGACAGACAAAGTCTATCTTGGACAACTGCCATGGAAACTGATACAGCATGGACAAAGAAGGCATGATGGAGAGCCATGCTTGACTTTTAATAAGAAAATCAGTAAAGAGTCTGCTGATATAAGCCCCCAATATGTTGCCTGCAACAAATGGTAGATTTTAGTGGTATATTTAAATATTGAGCTGCAACACAGGAAGTGCAAAAACAGTGATACATGAACAGATTTTACCACGAGCCTGTTATTGTGGAATACTAAAAATGGCCAGTTTTGCATCATGTTGTTTAACAAAGGTCACAGCCACAGTATCCAAATAATCTCTCTCTCTCTCTCACAAAAATTCACATAGAATCTTTAAGGACTCTGGGGTTTTATGACCCTAGTTAGTTTGCAAACAGGCACATTTCTGTTAATTTTAGCACTAGCATCCTTTTCCACAGTAGTTGATGATTCAGTAAGTGTAGAGTTTTCAGGCCATGGGAAACATTTTATTTAGAAATCTTGTACTATAGGGCCAGCAAGATGGCTCAGCAGGAAAGGAGCCAGATTCCTAGAATCCCATGCAGAATAGGAGATGTGACTCCCGCAACTTGTCTTCAGACTTCCACATTTGCACACTCACATATAACACATGCAGCTAGAATAAATACACCACAATATAAAGTGTACTTAATCCTGATGATATGGTACATAATATCATTTGCAGGGAAGATGCTTATTTTTGTTTATTTTTTTTTTTTTTTGAGACAGGGTTTCCCTGTGTAGTTCTGGCTGTCCTTAAACTCGAACTTGCTCTATAGACCAGGCTGGCCTTGAACTCAGAGATCCACCTGTTTCTTCCTGACATGTGATGGAATTAAAGGCATGCACCGCTATCACTCAGCAAAAATTCTTACCATGAATGAATTAGTTTGCACCTATTTGGAACATTTGAAACACTTAGAAGTTTACTGAGTCAGAAATGTCATGGACTCAATATCCAAGGGGGGAGGGACACCAAATATCAATATTTACTGAACTTACACTGAATAAATATAAAATAATACCAATAAAATGCAGTTTCTATACTGATTTAATTGTTTATTTATTCAAATTGCATCTGATTTGGGGTTTTATTTCCATAGGAAAGTACTAATTTTAATTTTCTAGTAAAAGAAAAGGCATGCATTCATTGGAAGCTCTGTCACATAAATGAAGCGTATTACCTCATATTCCTGGGAAAACTTCAGGTTGTCATTTGCTTTCAACCTCTCAATATGATCTGCAAGTTCCAAGATAGGTATTGGAGGATGGCTAGCCATACCTATTAAAAATAAAGAGGAAAGACATTTGAATAAAAACCAAATGATGCTAACACTTCAAAACACAGTGAATGCTGTAGTTAGAAATGGCCTGAAAACATGTGAGTAGTAAAGATGTTTTATGTGAAGAAGCAGGCAGATAGTCTGGTTACTCAAAGCAGGACATGCTCTAAAGGGAAGATTTTGGAACCAAGTAGAAAATTCACCAAGCATATTCCCCCAACTAGCATTCCTAGTGTGGAAGAAAGTGTTACTGTGCTACGAATCAATGAGGTTAGCTAGCAGGAAAAACTGAAAGGCGGGCCTGATGTCAACTTCTGCTTTGAGTAATTACTGTTATACCATCTCAGACTCCTTCTCCTGCACTGTGTGAAATGGAGATTGTGTGGAATTAAATGGTGTAAAGTCAACCAAGGGACAGACAGTGAAGAAGGCCTGAAAGGGAAGGAGGAGCAGCCTGATAGGAAACAGAAAGTGACTTATGTATAATCAAAGAAAACTAACTTGAAAAATGAAGGTTACCAGGGTAACCGGAATCATCTGAACCTGCAAAGAAAATGATGGTGTAAATAAAAATAAAAAAAAGATGAATGTATTTGTTTTTTAAAAATGAAATGGATAGCCTGATACACCTTTATAAAGAACCAATAAAATGAAAGCTTGTGCAGGATTTACCATACAATATGATAGATGAGGATCACTTTAGTATTTCACAAACATATCAGGTGACAACATTCACATGCAACTATGGATGACATGCACAACAGCTCATTGACAATGGATACTGTCAACACACTGGCACCAAACCAAACTGAACGTCAAAAATGTTTCCACTAGTAGCAGATTGTAGAGGTTGGGGTTGCAGCCTTCTAGCCATTTATTAATGGCAGCACTAATGACACAGTGATATTTTGCTTCCCAAGTCTCACCCTTCAACCCCCAGCAAACCTACAACCTACTTCAGGTGTAAACATCTTTGTCCTTGATGGGAAATGTATTCAGGAAAATAAGCAAATGGTGGACGAAAAGACAAGGAAAGAAAAGAAACATCTTAGTTCAGTCGGCCAGCTGAAGACACACTAATTTCTCAGTGTTTGTTAAAAATAATCGGCTGTTAATTTTGATGATTCTTGTGTTTTTCTGATTTTTTTCCCTCTCTGTTCACATGATTTGATCTTGTCTCATTGAGATTAATTTTGCAAGTGCACCATGAGAGAGAGTTGCTGACTTGGATATTAAGAGGCACAGATTCCAGCTGGATTGAGACAGTGAACTAACATGCCCCCAGGGAAGGATCTGAAGTAGAAAATTAGAAGTGGGGAGCTCCAACTGGAAGCTCTGGTGATGCTCTGCTGTCACTGCAACTCTGGAGGGTAACAGGCTGGAAGGATGACCATTAGATCAACGTGACAGGATTTCTTATGAGTGCTTTAGAAATGGTGTCATTATGTAAAGTCATCCCCTAGGTTCCTGTTTCTGAAATGCCAAATTATCAATGGCTATGGCAAATTAAGTTAAAAAAAAAAAAACTGAAACAACTTTGCTTCTTCAAGATAATCATGCTGTGCTTAGCACAGTGCTGTGATCTATGGTGGCTTTGTGTTCATGGCTGTGAAGGTCTGCTTATAGGAGCCAAAACCTTGGTAGAGAGCCAACAGAAATGAGTTGATTAGATACATATTCTCTTTGTTGATGATATAATTATACATCCGAACCAAAATTTTGGAGCCCTTTCTGAAGCTTTTCATATAGATGGCATAATTGAGCAAATTTACATTAGGCAGAGTGAAAGGGTGGGTGACAACAATCTAGTAATTAAGAGTGAGCTCATCCAGATGAGGCACTCCCCAGAGAATAGAATGGAAATGCAAAAAGCACAGGAGATGTTAGGCTGATCTGGACATGGAAACGGGCTGATGTGAACATCATTGCAGTGCTTTAACAGAGAAGGTAATAGACACAAAGATGTTTAGACCTTTTCGAGCGAATCGTGGGAGAGAGTTATTATCATATATGGACTGAGTGGTGGTTTGGCTAGAGAGGGAGGACACAGAGCCAATCAGGGAGGCGTAGGGGACTGAATTACTGCTCAAAGCTGCAAAAGTAAAGCCAGTTGGAGATGGGAAAAGTATTAGTATAACAGCAGAAGACCATAAGAAACAATACAAGATGTGATCACATATTCATTTCTGACATGTGGTCTCAAAGTACTACTTTGGAAGGTAATTACAGAGAAATTCAAACAAATTTGAGCTACTTCTTCATAAACAGCATTAAAAAACTGGTAACTTAAGAGGTGACAGTATGCAGCGTATGTACCCAATTTCTAGGACAAGTATAAATGGCAGAATAGCCATTTCAGATACAAGGGGTGAACCTATGAAAACTGCATGAAGAAGGAAATGTAGACCCACAATATAGAATATGAAGTTATATCTGTTCTGACATCTACTCAACAGAGTCCTACAATTAAGTATCTCTATGTCTTTATCTGCAAGACCAAAGTATGAATGTAAGTTAATTCTGAAGTTGCTCCCCTCTTTATGACACTATTTCAATACACTGATTGAGACTCTAAATAGGCAAGAGATTTTTCAGAGTGGTTCATATAAAAGGATTTAAAATTTTTTCTTGGAGATGTGGAGAACATTGTAAAATGGAAAACTATTATTTACTTGAGTTGTCTGCTATTTGTGTTCAGGTAAATTTTCTTTGGCTAGCCAAAACAGTGTATACTCTATATGATAATGCTGCCTTGCTTGTGTGTAAGGCTGAATACAAACATCAGTCTGCTGTCACATAAAACATGAGATAAAATTACTCTAACCCAGTGCTTTTTATTTCATGTCAGAAAACAGGTATTAAGTGTGTGGTGGTTAGAACAAAAATGACCCCCCACCCCGCTAGAGTCATATTTGAAAGCATAGAGAGTAGCATTAGGAGATGTAGCCTTGTTGGAGTAGGAGTGGCCTTGTTGGAGGAAGTGTGTTTTGAGTTTTGGTGTTTCAAATGCTCAAGCCAGGTCTCTGTCTTCCTGCTGCTTGACAATCCTGATCCAAAACTCTCAACTATTTCTCCAGGACCATGCCTGTCCGTGGGCAGCTATGCTTCTCACTATGATGACAATGGACTAAACCTCTGAACAGTAAGACAGTCCCAATTAAATATTTTCTTCATAAGAGTTGCTGTAGGTATGATCTCTTCACAACAACAGAAATTCTAATGAAGACATGAAGACAAAGGGTATACTTGAAAATAATTTCAAAGAAACTTATCCATTGTCTAGTGCCAGAAATGCATATGGTATAATCCAGACTACTATATTCTGGATGAAAAATTAGACACTGAGAATACTAAGATGATGAAGTTGATATAACTGTAGTAGTTTTCAGCTTTTGTCTGTAGCCTGGGCATTATTCATAGTCCAGAAAACAAGTGTGTGTGTGTGTGTGTGTGTGTGTGTGTGTGTGTGTGTTCATTCAGAACAATATTTTCATATTAATTCTGAGAGTATTTTAAAATTCCTTTCCAAAGGATGCATACCAGACCAATTAATTCAGAACCTCTGCAGGTGGGAGCCAGACATTGATGCTTTAAGTTCCCTAGCAATAGCTCTTCATCCTATGGGAAGTCATGATGAACACAGCAGGAACTTTGTAACTCCATTTGTTACTTTTATGTTCCAAAATCACATCACGATTTATGAGAACAAAGTAATTTATTTTTGCTAGTGATATCCTTGTATTCCTGTGACACCCCACTAGCAAGCTTTATTCCTTTTTGGATATTACTAGCAGCAAAGAACTTGAAGTTCTTTGCTGCTAGTAATATCCAAAACACAACACAAACACATTTTAAAGGCTTGCATTGACCCTGAGCAGAATTTTCATACTGAAGCCATAGCATCTATCAGATATGATGTTACAATGAAACTTGATGGCATCTTCATTATAATGAAATCTACTGTATAGGTTGTAGAAAAAAATGATAACTACTTTCAACATAGTACATATTTGTGGGAATAATAACAGTGGCTTCCTTGCATGAAATAAAAATTTTAAAGCATTGGAATTTTTTTTTTGCTAAGATAAATTTTGGATATAATTGAGTCCAGTGCTTTTATTTTATGCAATAGGACTCTAGAATGTCACCTAAGCAGTAAATAGAAAAAGAAAAAAAAAAACCAAACCAAAAACAACCAAACAAGCAAACAAAAACTACTATGCTGGTTAGTATCATTAGCCTGATTCATATCTGAATAGGAGCTGATTTTCTAGTGCAAAGTCAGAATCAAAGGACTGAGGAATCACGATGGTACAGCCAGAAAAACCAAAGATCCTTAACTGTGGCACAGTACCCACTTTTACAAAAAAAAGAATAACTGTTGTTTCTAGTGGGGAACAGATTTCTAGGACTACTTCTGTTACTTTTGCTTTTCAGGAAAGAAAAGCATACCTTTATTATCTGAACATCAACAATAACCTTGAAGGTCAGTACCATGGCAGTCATAGTTCTCGGAGTGGAGATGTAGGTGGCAACAGAAGATACTTTGCTGTGGCACTTTTTATATTATACTAAGGGGAAACATGGGGCTGATGGGAAAGTCATTCACATGGTTAAAAATCCTGATCAACTGTCAAGTAACAACATCATAGTTTTTAAGAGTTGACCCACCATTGTCTTTAATTCCAGTGGATGACAAAGGTAAGATGTAGAGGAAAGGATGTCTGTGTGCTCACAGACTAACACTTGGAAAAGCAGGAATGTTAAGCACACAGGCATTTCTTTAACAGAAGGGATGTATGTACCTGTTTTCCACACTGGAGGCAGGGCGTGGATGTTGCAAATAACCTGGTGATCTTTTTTCTATCTGTACAATGCAGCCTCATCTAAATCACCCAGAATGTTTATCCCAGATTCTCTCTCTCTCTCTCTCTCTCGCTCTCTCTCTCTCTCTCCCTTTATCTTTAGATTTATCAGTAAATAGAACCCACCATTAGGGGAGATGTCAAAAGTACTTTACATTTACAGCCTGGTGAGGTAGGACCTTAAGCTATAGAACACATCTTCATGGTAGAGGCCAGTACTTCACTACATGTGAAAAGAGTTCACATGTAGTCATGCCTTAAGCTTTCTTGTTACCAGGAAACATTTTTTGTTGTTGTTGTTTTTGTTTTGTGAGACTTTTTTGTTGTTTGTTTTATTTTTTTTCAAAATTGAACTATATTAAATAGTGTTAAGTAAACTGGCTTGATGTCAGACTCTGCTTAGATAACTAAGCAGTACCAAACCAAATTTCCTCCTGGCCTATCATGGTTCATTTCTCTGCTGGTAGTAAAGCTTGCAGGGATCCCAACAGTAAGAACTTGCTGTCTCAACTGACCTACTAGATTGTAATATCTTCCTTTTGTAATTGTGTGAATTATAATGAAAGGGTTCTTCCAGGTTCCAATGTCTTGGACACAGGTGATGACTTTTGACAGGTCAGATGGTTTATACAGCAAGTTGTACAGCAACATAATGATCATAAACTATGCTGATCTAAA